ACATCAAAAACTAATGATGTAATGTATGGTGATTAACATAACAATAAAAATTATTTTAAAAAAAGATTTTATTTATTTATTTGAGAGAGAGAGAGAGATTGAGCATGAGTGGGGGTAGGAGGCAGAGGGAGAAGCGGACTCCCCACCAAGCAGGGAGCCAGTCACGGGGGTCCATCCCAGGACCCTGGGATCATGACCTGAGCTGAAGGCAGCCGCTTAACCAACTGAGCCACCCAGGCACTCCTCAAATTCCTAATTTAAGCAATATTTAAGTGAATTAAGTTCATTTTACCAATTTTGTAAGATCAAATATTTGCATACTAAGTTTAATTATAATATGAGATTCCTGTGTAAACCTAGATTATAATTAAGACTAGGTGGTAGGAGTAAATGTAGTAAACTATTCCTTTGGAAATTATTATTTCATGTTGTGCTGGTTAAGAAGTCCACAGGTTCAGGGGCGCCTGGGTAGCTCAATCGGTTGACCGTCCGGCTCTTGATTTTGGCTCAAGGCATGATCTCAGGGCTGTGAGATCCATCCCCACATCTGGTTCTGTGCTCAGCGGGGAGTCTGCTTGAGATTCTCTCTCCCTCGCCCTCTGCCCCTCCCCCGCTCATGTGTGTGCTCTCTCTCTAAAATAAATAAATAAATCTTAAAAAAAAAAAGTTCACAGGTTCAGTTCTTCAGAATTGAGGAACAATTCTATTTGTTCTAAAAATTATAGACTAATAATATTGTGGCATCTTGTCTTTCTTCCTAATATCATGTTTCTGTCATCCTTCAGCCAGGCAGGAGCACCAACATAAATCCTTAAAATGTTCACATTCCAGATTAATACTATTAAGGGGGAAAAAATCAGTATACTGAGTAAAGAGCAAAGATAATAATTAGAACTCGAAACTTTTGATCATCTCTGAAACTTCATTCCAAATGCAGGAACATACTACATTTAAAAAATCCCTGCAGGGCGCCTGGGTGGCTCAGTTGGTTAAGCAACTGCCTTCAGCTCAGGTCATGATCCCGGGGTCCTGGGATCGAGTCCCACGTCGGGCTCCCTGCTCAGCGGGGAGGCTGCTTCTCCCTCTCCCTCCGCCTGCCACTCCCCCTGCTTGTGGCTCTCTCTCATTATCAAATAAATAAATAAAATCTTTAAAAAAAAAAATCCCTGCAAATCATGAGTAATTATATCACAAAAGTTCCCATTTTGCCCTCCTAACCTCCTGCTTCAGCTGGATGGGCATGACCTAGTCTTTCCTTGAAGAAAACTCCCAGCCAAGGCAAAATATAATTTCACAAACCCCTACAAGTACATACATGGCGCTGAAGTTCAATGTTACCATTGTTAATCTCATTGCTTATCTTCAAAAGCCATTGTTGAATCATGTTAAATATTTGTGCTTGGAGTACCCTGAAGGAAAAAATCAAGTAAAATAAATATAAGATATACTTAGAGTGTAAAAGTCTATCAGCTAAAAGAAAGGATTTTATTTGGCGGGGCCTAGGAAATGTAGGTGTTGACAACTATTTGAGAATTCAGGGAAAGGGAAATCAAAGCCCTGAATTACCTGGTAGCATGGCTTACTATCACAGCCTTCCTAACCCCGGGCCGGTAGCAACTGGCCGGATGCACTTTGAACAACGTAGGTCTTACCTTCAGTGCTAGCTCTCTCTTATAAAAACTCACACTCATACCCTTTACATTCACTTCTAGGCAGTGAGAACACAAAGTGAGAAGAATAAATTTTAAAATTCTCAAGAGATCAATTTCCAACATGAGAGTGTGAGGAGCAAAGTTGATCCACCCTCCCAGTGAAGCTGGTGAGAATTATTTTAAAAACAAAACAAAACCAAAACACTGAAAGCCTCTAGAAATGTCCTAAGGACAAAGAGCAACTGAAAAAAACGTGTCTTCAAGACAATCTATGAAAATTCAATAAGAAAGGCAAGAGCCTATGGTATTTAAAAACAACACTATCCCCCCTCCTTCTGCTGTCTGCTCAGTGAGGCAGAAACTCCACTCTAGACTGCTGCAGACAAGAACACAGAACTCCCTCCCTCACCCTCCAGCTCCCAGTCAGAGGGCTTTCTTCCTGGGAGGCACAGGAATTCCAAGGCTTCTTATGTGACCCCAGTTGCCTGTTGCTGAGGCTAGGTACTAGGAAAATGCAGCTGAGAAGTGGGGATTCCCTTCCATCCAGCAGAAAGCTGTGGGAACTTACGGGCCAGAATCCACATCCATATACTGAGGAACGGTACCAATAATGTTTATTGATGCATCCAACTGAGATTTCATTTCATTAACTTTTTCATTAACTCCTTCCCATTCTTCATGAAGCATTTCAGGAAACTCCAGGACATTTGCCAACTTGAAAGAACAGAATTCTAGAGAACTAACCAAACTTGGAATAATTTTAGAGATACCTAGAAAAGTGAGAAAAGTACTAGCTTTTAAAAGTATTCGTAAGTCTACCATTGCAATAATAAATTACAAAAATATTAAAGGATAGTGGCATATCTTCTTTCATCTTTTTATTATCCTACAGTTTAGGCCCTAGCAGAGAATCTTACAAAGAACAGTTCTTAAACAAATGTTTAGTGAATAAACATGGTGCAGTCAGTGCTGTTCTGACAGATGGACTATTTATTTCTTTTTTTTTT